TCAACTTTTGCATTTAGTTCATATATACGGCCACGGCTTCTATGAGTCAAGTCGTATGCTAACGAGGAAAAATGTAAACAATGACGTCAGCAAAGATTCGCCTATACTGTGATAGTTATTGCGAGTGTCACAAAAGGCGTGGTATTAAAGGAGCTACGTCACGGTTTCCGCATCTTGAAAAGTATAGCCTAATTTTTTCAAATACGCCGTTTGTAATCCGTGTGAATCTTCTCCATTCTTAACCACCCTTGTTAATATCTCTTTGTTTTTTTCAATCTTAGCAAACTACCATTTTCAGGTTTTCTTCGATTTAAAGGTTATTTTGTACGTGGCCAAAATATCATGCCCGATCTCCTTGAAGTGAATTTTGAGACTGACTGGAAATAATAAAACTATTGAAAGTGCTGTCAGGACCCGAAATCCCATTGGGCGCTTATTGTACAGCACAGAATGAGCTTGTTCTGTAATGATTGCTCGGCAAAAGGCTTTCATTCAACACATGTGTTTATGAAGAACCCTATGAAACGAAAAGATCTAGTAAGTGTTACTACGTCTGACAGATTGCGCATCACAAACTAAATGTCTTTTCTGATTTCTGCAGAGAACAGGAAGAGTAGCAGTCTTCAAATCACTTACATTTCCGTATTTTTGCAGAACTTAATTGACGGCGCGGCATTCATGGGTGTTGGTTTTGATGGGCGTGGTGAGTACAGTCCTGAATCAAGAAAAATGAGCATCGTGCAGCGGAACTGCGCTGGGAAAGCAACGTAAGATCTGTCATCCTCACGTCTTACTGCAGGCTTCTTGAACAGTTATTTGACAGGACATTTTCGACAGTTTCTTTCCGACAGTTCAACTGCCGGCCTCCACATCCCGATATAGAGATAGTGATTACGTGTGTTTTTAGAAACTTGAATTAATATTTTAAGGTCCTAGATTGATACTTCGATCTTAGCTCCATATTCAGTATTTTACATGTAGTTATTTCAATTAATGTATTTTAGTTTAATAGTATACGCGACTCCACAAGCTTTGTAGTTTTGACTCTTATGGTGTCGAAATAGAGGTTTTATGTTATATGTTATGTTACACGATAACGATATCAGATGGCCAAATAAGTTTCTGTGAATAATTTGTACTAACTAAACATGCATGTTGCTGTGTCCTTCAGGTACGATGACTACGATGTCCCGGATACAATGAATGTTCATGGCATTTATGACACGAAAGCATCAATGGTGACATTCGAGAGTCGCAGCGAGTTTCAAAAATATCTTCAAGAGGAGGCTGGTGTGTCTGGATCATACTTTGGATTCTACGCAGGCGTGAAGTCAGGTTGGGAGGAGTCTGAGACCCAAGCTAGCCAAAAGTACATGGCACTTCTACATGTAGACATAAACAGGTATTGAAAATTGTATATTGTAAAAGCACTTGCATGAAGCGGTTTTTATTTGAGTGTTGAAACGTAATTGGTTTTGCATCAACCGCGCTATACGATCGGCTTAAAAACTTGCGCCATTTTTTTCATCCAAACAGAAGTAAAACCAAAACCAATCGTGACTCGTTCTCACTCGTTTTCCAACGCTTTGCGTCGGCTACATGTAATTACTTCGAGTTTTGATTGGTTCACTGTATTGTCTGTTTCCTTTGTGGTTAGCTACAAGGATTACTTTGGTTTTGGTTTTACAACACTCAATTAAAAACCGCTCTAACTGCTGTCCTAGCTGACTTAGAGCGTTTTTCAATTGAGTTTCGCAAAGCCAAAACCAAACCAATTTTTTAACAATGAGATTACTCAGCCAATCTCGGGCCGTAGTAAAACCAAAACCAAAGTAATTGCCTGATCACTTTCGACACTAAATTGAAAATAACTCTAAATATCGCTACCTGCCCCCTATAAATACATATTTCCGTGTTTCAGATACGAGATCTTTATTGACGAGGTGAAGCCAAACGATCTAAGTGCGTCGTTTTTGAGAGAGTTCATGGATCTGCCGACATCTTATTTTGCAGCGGACGCGCCTCTGACATATCGTAAGTCAGCCTTAAGTGTCTGTAGTTTGCATTGATTGGTCTTAGTTTTGTTATTATCCCCACTTGTTTGAGCCATCAAAAATGCCCATAGTGTTGACATGATGAGCGATTTCTAACTCTTCCAAAGATCACTGGACGAGAGTTAATTAATCTAATAACCCCTCACTTCTTTTGTTCATTCTTTTACTACCTTTCAGTTTCCGTATTTTATTTACTTTTCCTAATTTTCTATTGTAGCCTAGTAATAAAAAGGTTTGTAATTAGATCTTAAGAGACGGGCCCACCTAGACAAGCACTAGCCATCTGCGTGCCAGTCTGACTATAAAGATGTAAATTGAAGAACGAAAATGAACATTTAAAGATTGAAGAATTGACCATTTTACAGTTGTCTGCTC